AAAGCAAATGTATAATGTTTCGTCAAGGTTTTGACATCATCAGGTAACTTGTCGAAACGTTGTACATTTGCTGTTATGTTAAACTTATATTAAAGTTTTTCTTCATTACCTATTCAAGCCGTCTCCAACCATTATTAGTCTCAAAGTGGGTTCCTCGTCATCGAAGCTGGAAACTTGTATTTCTAAGAGTTTGCAAAGAACACATTTATTACAACTGCTTATTTTTGAAATACAGTACACGATGCATATATTGTGTATTTAAACTATATGCCTGTATATGACCGGACGTACGCTAGCTTTTAGCGCGGTAGACATTGAATCCGAGGATTTAAGGTTCTCAGTTCGTTTCCGCAAAAACGCATTCCACTCTTGGGGATTGTGGCTACGCTATAAGATTAACGGTGAGATTCTAATATTAGCTCAGGGGAGAGTAGTCTAATAATTGGTTGTTGGCTAGCTGTCTTCTCTCTAGTTACCGGTTCGAGAGTAGGGACGGCTATGCGCAGATAGCTCTTGTGTTCTTTTGCGCGAAGGTCTAAAAAGAAAAACAAATATATAAACCTGCCTTTACGTTCGATTCCAGTTTAGTGTTACAAAACGTGCACTTTGTCTTAAAGTGTATCTTTTGATAACACATGTCAACATTTTTCCCCAAATACAATAATAAAATTATTCCCTGTACTCAATCAACTTTCATAATGTAAAGCAGCGTAAAAAAGTCACAAAATATTCTCGTCAGACGTAGAACAGAAAAGAAAAAAAACAAACATTTTCTTTGATTCAAATCGCTATCAGTAACTTCTAAAGTCATCAGCGTTCACGATATAGTATAGAACACGATTCGCGACACTAACATTTCGAGATGTAATTTTATCACACTATTCGAATAATAAATCTAAAATCACGTATAGAGTTGACAAACGCAGACATTCAACACTTTTTAACTGGTGTATTTACAGACTCTCAAGCCAGGGTTAAAGTTTTGTGTGTTAATCTTTTTATCTGTTCTGCTCCTGAAGAAAAAGCGACTACTCTTCGAAACTTCTTGAGTTTCTGGGTTGATTTCACTGTCTTTAAAAAAAAAAACAACAACGATCCTCTGTACTACTTTATATTTCATTATTGTTCCTACATTTAATGAAATTCTCCGCAAGCTCTTTAAGGAATATTAACTTATATTTGAATAGCTGAAATTTTTTCATTATTATTCTCTGATCTAGTGTATTGGACTTCTAGTTCATACAGCCATTTATATAGGGTGGTTGATTGGAGTACACTTGATACTTCGTAATGATAGTATTATATTAATTATATCTTATTTAGAATTATGATTTTTCCACACAATTTATAGCGACGTTTTCGTAAAAGAAAATTTATTTCATTTGTAGCAGTTATATTCGTATTTTAATACGTAAGCATGATACTTAATCCCATCAACCCGAAATATATCATAACACTCGTCAAACCACCTTAAATATCGCATTAAAAGATTAAGTTATTTCTGCACCATCACATAAGGTTGTTCTGTAGCCTTTCTGCTAGTTAAACGTTATTGGTTATCACAAATCATCAGCTTCTTTGTTAGCCACATCTTCTTCAATATCACAAAAGTTATCTCCATAAGCATCATGATATGTTATTTAACTAACCTTTCCATTCACTTTTCCAAACCCTTGGATATCACAACATTATATTTACTGTAGTGGGGTATGGTAATGGTAAATCAGCACCCACCCCAAAACTGTACTATATATTTTATAATAAGCATTGAATGGATTAATTCTTCGTACAAAAAGGGACAATAGGAGTATAGATTGATAATTGTTTTCTTCTTTAACAAATTTCATGGACAGCTTGTTGATTCATGGTGTGAGCTTCTTAGATAATGGTGTTCCTGGAAAAAATCATATGTGGATATCACTTCAAAACTCTGTGCTTCAAGAAATATGGCTTATTTTAAGTTAGAAGCTCAGTTGGTTATATAAGGCTTGCACTTTGAACCTGGAAGAAAACGCAGGACGTTGTCCATCTCTATAAACCTTGCCAAAAATATTTGTTTATTTTTTACATAACAGCTGTGAAAATAGCGATGATTATTCGTTTACGTGCACCAATTTTTCACAAATTTCTCTTTTATCTTTGAAATTTTCATTATGTACATCTTACATTATTCGAAACAAAGTTCAAGAGTGAAATAATCCAGTTGAATGCAGTTTCACCACAACCCTGTCTTGCTTTGGTAATATATCTTTGTATATAAAGAATGTTTTTAGTTTAGACGCAGCTGTTGTCGTTGGCAGTTATGAATGCTTGAAGAACCTCTTGAGAGCTGTTGGCTGGAATAACATCCAGAAGTTTAATGACTTTGTTACTAAGTGCGAGCAGTGTTTATTTTTCCCCCCGTCACTGAACTAAAATAATTGAACTCGAGCCAGATTCTGACTCCAACAATTTCAGTATCCCTGTTGTAAAATTCTTAGACGATTTAACCAGAAAAAAAACTTGCTGTTTTTAGACACATTAATTTGTACACATGCTTTGTGATTCTTCGGTGTCCTTATTTTTACGTACACTCTTTTATTGGTGCGGGATGTATTCGACTATATATTACTGTAAATATTTGTAGACATTGCAATTTCACCTTGACTCAACTTATTCCAAAGTCAATTATAAAGTAAAGCAACTCAGTAAAGCTACACGTGATATTGTTACACTAACACTAAGTCTAGAATTCGTTTAGTTGATGCTCTTCGAGTTATATTCGTTTTAATGAATTACCTTTGTTTTGAAAAAAAAATTGAGGCCTTTGTAGTATCATCGTGAATAAATAATAGCATGTGTAAAGTAACAAAATCATATGATATTAATAAATATTACATTTGTAAATTGTATACCACGTGCCCCCTGGAGGTTCAGCAGTAAGTCAGCGGGCTTATAACACTAAAAATCGGGTTTCAATATCCACTGTAGGTGAAGCACAGAAATGGCATTGTTTAGCTTCGCATTTTGCAAAAAACAAAACACACCACGCATAAAAAGCATCATTCTGCTCTGAAACTGAAATAAGAACTGCACGAACTCACATTAGTCGATAAAACCATACAATTACTGGAAGAAACGTTCGAACAACTTGAAGTTTTATCAACAAAACCGAATCTGTGGCAGGGTATATCACCACATGGAAACAGATACATCTCTTTATTCAGCTCTTTTGGTATAGAATATGACATTTTCGCAGCACTGCATTTATTTAGATTATTATCGAAAATAGATAATAAAAGGTGTCAATCTTTCATGTTTTTGAGCGTTAGAATGTACAAACTTTGTGTGCCAGGTAATCAAGTGTCTATCTATCCATCCATCTACAATAAACTGGCGTTAAGATTGACTTATACTCCTGTTTTAAACTGAATGATAATAGCTCTCCAGGGTTAAAATAAGCATTAAAATGGGCTGTATCTCTTTTTGATAGGCACAACAGCCGTCGTTGCATTGGTACACAACCAGCAACTGATAGTAGCGAACGTTGGAGATTCCCGAGGTGTGCTCTGCGGCAGCGAAGAAGTAACGATACCAGCCACATTTGATCACAAGCCTCAGCAGGTATATGTCAAATTTAATAATAAAAATTTTATATTTTGTATTGGAATAAAATATGTAATAAAGTCAAACCTGTCTCAATAAAGCAGTTACTTTTTCTACATTAAATAACAAAAAAAGGGGGTGCTGTTTACACTTTTCTATTTTACAACTTACAACATTTGGCATCGCCCAAGCTTTCTTTATTGAGGAAATTAGTAAAGCTGTTGACTAGAAAAAAACTCATTAATATGTGAACTAATTAAATTATGTATAGAATAATTAAAAATTATGGCGACTTCAAATATCATTTTCAATTTGAACAAACTTTGTTCACATAGCGAGGCATGAGTTGTTTTGGAAAATACTTGGATTTATGTATCTAAACAATTGTGGATCCAGAACTTTGTTCGTCATAGGATTTATAATACCATGCGAGTCACGCAAAGAAAAATAAATAAATAAAAATACTGATAGCACTGCAATTAACCCTCTATTATTAAAATACTTGGAATAGTTTTTTCTTTGAAGTTTTCACTAAAATAGGTCTATATTACACAAAAAAATGTTTTTGTGAAATATATTTTAGTAAATTATAAATGGGTGCGTTACTTACAACTAACATTGTTCAATTGAGGAACTAACAGATATAATTCCATGGTTTATTTAGACTGTTACCTGGCAAAAAGAGCATTCATCTATAAAATTGAAGCATTTGTATGTGTATTAAGTAACAAAGGTAGATTTGACACCTGTATATTACAATGTGCAATAAAGGGTTAATCTCACTACGTGCTTCTGAGATTTCCTATGTATTTTACAAAGAAAACGAGTGATTTCATCCCCAAGTTTTGATCATTTCTTTACAATGAGTTTTGTTAAAAGCAAGAAACTAAAATTAATCAATATGTGGACCTCATAGGTAGTGAAGGATATGAAACAAGTCAGTAATTGGGAGCTAACAACGTTAAGATCACAGTAAATAACAAAACCATACCATGTCCAGTATGTATGTACATTTTGTACTTAATACTGTAAAATAAAAAAAAGGTTAAAACTGCACAATTATTTTTTATTACATGTACATGTTTCAACAAGACCTTGATCATCTGTCTTCGTCAGGTACAACTAAACAATTATACGTAACAGTAACGTTTGTTATATTAAAGTTTTTCTTCATTATCCATTCAAGCCGTCTCCAAGCATTATTAGTAACGGTTGTTTGTTGTTAAACGCAAAACTACACAGCAGGCTATCTCTGCTGTACCCACCACGGGTATCGAAACCCAGTTTTTAGTATTATAAACCTTCAGACATACGGTTGTGGCTCTGGAGAGGACACTTTTTATGCAGACGAATGGTCTACTATTTTTAATTAGATATTTAACTTGCTTGTCAGACTTTCTATCCGTCTGTCTCTCTTTCGAACTTCTTTCTGCGAAATTTAGCTTTTTTGCGACAAATACCTAACATTATAATTTAATTAGTCTTATATGAACATGAGATCTCAAATTACCTAAGACAAATTGAGAAATATTACACCTAAAATATTAACGAACTAAATTATTTTTCCATATCGCTTGGGAAAAAATATATAAGCATTAACTGTGAACGAACTTTATTGTATTATGAATTTTATGTCTGTATTCAAGTTAGAAATTTACTATGATATTGTATAATTAGTAATATAAATTAGAAATGGAAAAGCTTTAACTTGAATTTAGATTTTCAAAGTTGTTATAAATTACGATTATATGACTGAAGTTTAAAGGAATAACTTCAGTATTATATACTTGTACTTATTTCTTTTCATTATTGGAACAAAGCCACATTAGGCTATCTGCTGTGTCCGCTACGGGGAATCGAACCCCGAATTTTAGCGTTGTAAGTCCGTTAACTTATCGCTGTCTCATCGGGAGACTATATATATAGTAACTAATGGTGAAAATCTATGTTATAAGGAGTACTTGTACAATTTTGGGTAGTTTATGCTACAAGGAGGTTTCGTATGAATAATTTTGGCGCTGATCCAAGTTAGATAGTTATGCTGGCTTCTTATTATCTCTTGTTGTGGCGCCACTATTTATAACACCGATAACATTCAAGTCGCATACCATAACGTGTTTAATTCGGTCGATAATGTGGAGCATTTTATATCATTATTCTGTTTTTATCATGTTTTAATTCCATTATCTGGAGGTTTACAACAATGTTTTGTATTTTTACAGTATTTCCATAACTTGTCTAACACTACAGTTGTTTCTCTCTAGCTAAAAGAGCACAAAAGAATTAAGGAGGCTGGCGGTTTCATCACGTTTAACGGAGTGTGGAGGGTTGCTGGTATACTTGCAACATCACGAGCTCTAGGAGATTACCCCTTGAAAGATCGGAAACTCATCACAGCAGAGCCTGATATTCTCACCTTCAACCTCAAGGAAATCACCCCTCAGTTTATGATTCTAGCTACTGATGGATTGTGGGATGCTTTTACAAATGAAGAAGCTGTCTTATTCATTTCCAATCATCTCGACGAACCTTATTTGGGTGCCAAAAGCCTTGTGATGCAAGCTTATTTGCGCGGATCTGTTGATAACGTCACTGTAATGGTGGTTGACTTTAGAGATTTCTCACCGAAAGACGAAGTTTTTATTTAGGAATCAAGCCTCATTCTGGAGTGTACTAGAAACGAAGAGTTTTTTCTTTTGTAAAGATTTTAAGAAGTACTTTAAGAACCGTTAAAAAAAGACTGACGAAGCATTCAGTTTATGCGTGCATGAACAATTTTTTGATGAATTTCATGAAATAACTTAGTTTAGTGCCTTAGAATTAGAAGATACATTTTGAGTTTGAGATGTTGACTTTGACATGATTTTCTTTCACGGGCCTTCCTTACAGAAACCATTTGGATACATGCCTAATTACACTTAAGACGTGCTTAACTAGGTTGATTCAGATAATTTCATAAATCCCAAAGGACACTTAAACTTTACTGCCTTATTGTGTAGTTAAAGTGCGAGGAACATATACAAACATGTAATAATCCTTTTACCATCATCTCCGCTTAGAAAAAAAACCTTACTTTTGTTCATCTCTTGGTTTAATATGAGAGTGTTAATCGAGGATTAAATATTAACATTTATTTTCTGATCAAGAACTAAATGTTAACATTTATTTTCTGATCAAGAATTAAATGTTAACATTTATTTTCTGATCAAGAATTAAATGCTAACATTTATTTTCTGATCAAGAATTAAATGTTAATATTTATTTTCTGATCAAGAACTAAATGTTAACATTTATTTTCTGATCAAGAATTAAATGTTAACATTTATTTCCAATAACACTTAACGCACATACCGGTGAAAACTTAAGACAATTCAAATTTAAAAAAAAAACTGTTTATTTATCTTACAGTATAATAAGCTCAGTTTATTTATAAATCAACAGTAGTAAGTGACTAATATGTTTAATATAAAATGGCGTTTTATTTATCAATAGTCTTGTCTTCGAAAAATATACAATACATTTAAAACAGCGTATAAATTTGATTTCATGACTAAACAGCCATAGGGTTTGACTTTTTTTAGATAAAGGTGTGAAATAGACATAAATCTATTAAAATAATAACCATTAATGAGTATTGTATGTTATTGTTTTGTGTTAATTTGTTTATAAATGTGCTTTCATCTAAATGGGGTAGAGATGATATTGTTACAGTGTGTGTGAAAGTATCTGACACTGGTTGCGTTGTCAAAAGTTTTAAACACCTTCAGACAGCAGTCTATACATAGATATATCACTAGTATTTATTTTACGTTTTTTTCAAAGTTAGTTTTATTATTATTTAATTGTCTGAGCTATTTTTGGAGTAACTAATTAAGATGAATTTGATTATAGGTTTTAGAAAAAAAAACCTTTCAGAACTTTTTTTTACCATATACTAGTGTAGTAGTCAAAGTTCACTTTTGAGCTTGTATGAAATGAACGTAAATCATAGTAAAGTATGTCTTACCATTAACATAAAGCACAAAATTAAGTTAAGAAAGAGACAAGTCTCACTTTTTTATTACACCAAATAGATCCCTCAAATTCAAACCTTTCTTTTCATTTACGATAACCGAACTTATTTACTGAAAAAAAAACAAAAACTTCTAAAATACATTTTGTAAATTTGTCACTTCGTTGGGAAACCGACAAGGATAAGCTATAAACAATTTCCAACTTTACAAAATGTTGTTAAAACTTCACACGTGGAAGCAAAATGAAATAAAACTCGGTGCAAGGCTGGTTCCTGTCACCTTTCAGAGAAAACTACATATTTCATGCGTATGCTTGCGGATGTGTTACTATAGTGTTGTAAATTCGTAAAGAAATCTAATTTAATTTTTTTTTCTTCAAATGGCAAGTATCCAAGAATTTTATTGTTAATCACTGTGAGAGGGTTAGATTTTCTGCCAAAGTTTTTAGTGAAACTATAACACAGTTAAGTTGCTTAATGGTAATTTTTTATTAACACAATATATCAGGTTGGTAATCTGTGAGACGAGTTATAAACGTTTTATTTACTTAACGAAAATAACTATCATTGCATTAAACTTCTTATAAACGAACATCTTTATAAAGGAAAATAAATTCAAGGTACAGATAAAAATAGAAAAAGACAGTGGATTTAGATGCTGTTTAGTCAAGAATAGAAACAAGAAAAAGTAAACGTCTATTTTTTTCTAAAACAACACTTATCACAATCAAACTATCTTGTTTTGTTGCTCCATTGGTAAAATTACATGATATTTTACACAAATAAAAAAGTACAAATATTCGATGATAAATACTTTATAAAATGTGTATAAGGTTTCTCATAGTGAGATAACACAGTAATGAGCTTACCAGACTGGTCTGCTGTGTGCCATGGTCGTACTTTAGTTATTTCTCATGTGTTTCATTATTTGTTTCAAGTGCACAATGAGTTATCTGCGCTGTGCCCACCGCCGGTATTGAACCCCGATCTTTAGCATTATAAGTTATCAAGATTATCGCTGAGTCACCGGGGGCGTCTCATTATTTTTTGAAAGAAACGCTGCTTGTATGATTTAAATGTTTCATATCAGAATATGTATTATGTATGTTGTTCATAAAGTAAGCTTTCTGGTTTTAATGTAATATTTGCTCTCATGTGTTTATTTGAAATAAATGTTGCTGTAAAAGGTTTGAGATTTGAAGAAAAAATAATTTATTTCGAATTGAGGTTTTCATGTACTCCAAAACGTGAAATATTTTTCACTGTATTTTCCTTGGTGAAAAAAAAAATGAAGCTAATAGTCAGAAACTCAATATAACAAAAATATCCAAAATACATTTTAATGATTACATAGGAAAGTAGATTACCAAAACAGATTTAATCATGAGTTCCATTAGAATTATAAATACGTGTGAATAGATATATTTTTAGTATTTTCTTTAATTTGCAAATAAATGTAAATTTTGTATTAAGATTTACAATAAATGTTATAAGAATGAAACAAAAGATTAAAACATAATTATACTTCATTCAGGATACTTCTAAAACTTCGTAATTCTAGGTAAACTTGTAGAATTGATATACTTTGTTTATGAACCAATTAAAAAAGGAAAACCTTTTATTTCGAAATTTCCTTAGCATTATGTATTATTAAAAATCAATGTTTTAGTTAATTACTACATATACCAGTCAAATGACACAGATTAGTACCATCGTACTAATATCCGAATTAACCAGTTTTCCTCTAGTGTTACAAAAAAAGATACATAGGATAAGTTGGTACATTAAATAAACTACTATATGGTTTCATTCGAATTGATTAAACCTCAGTTTTAGGATCAGAAGTGTGATAGAACACCACATAAGTTAGATAACTCTATCAAAGCACCTAACTTGATATTTTGTAAGATAGGAGAATCATTAATACTATTAATACTAATACTATACTATAACTACTATATGGTTTCATTCGAAATGATTAAACCTCAGTTTTAGGATCAGAAGTGTGATAGAACATCACATAAGTTAGATAACTCTATCAAAGCACCTAACTTGACATTTTGTAAGTTAGGAGAATTATTAATAGATAATTTATTAGGTTATTGTACTGGGGTTCCTTAATCCCTAGGTTACTTGTATAAGTGTCAGTGATATTTAATGCTTCTATTTTAACTAACCCAGTAGGAGACTTTAATCTCACAATAAAAACGTGCTGTTACTGACTGTATGGTACTGTAGAAGGAAGAATTATCCTGTTAGTAATGTAATCTTCATACTAGGAACTTATATTACGTAATAAGCTAAGAGTGAGTTATTAAACTTGATGGCACCTTTCTGTCATTTTCAACCAAAAGGGTGAATATTAGACGTTATACACCAATTTCACCACCTTTTTAAAATTAAAAATAGTTGGAGTTATTCTGTTCAACACTGAAACCTATGTAAAAGAAAACCACAATTATAACTCAACACTGCATTGATTCTTAACTTCAATTAAAAGTTTTGATTTTATTCACATTAGACAGTAAATATTACATTCTATTTCATAAAATAGTTGAAAAACAAAAAATAACATTGATACTGGAAGACAAAAGAGAAAACTACTCATTAAGATGTAATATGCACATTTTTTGTAAGGATATAATAATGCTTGGAGACGGCTTGAATGGGTAATGAAGAAAAACTTTAATATAAGTTTAACATAACAGTAAATGTACAACGTTTCGACAAGGTTTGTCATCATCAGGTACAAGTAGTTTACACCGACACATATATATATATATATATATACAGTATGGAAAAAAGAGGCCACATGACCCGATATTGTTGCACGACTTAGAAGAAATATCTTGGCACCCCAGGGTGTTGTTTTAGAGTAGGGTTGTTTTGTTCAAATAAGATGAATTCCTTGATTTTTCGTTTGTTTATATTTGGTTCTTTGTTTAATATTACTGTGTTTTTAATATATATACTATGTTTCTTTGAGTTGCGATGGTGGAAAACATGGGACGGTGTCACTCTTCACCGAAATTTCCGCCAACGAAGCGTGCAATATCACACTCGACCTCTACATTAATGACCCTAACAAGTTAATCCCCATCCCCACTACACTTTTTGCTTATCTCTTAGAATTTACAACAACTAAAACCAACTTTATCTTCATCAACGAACATTTCTTTCAAATAGATAGTTTAAGTATGGGCAATCCTGTTTCACCGTTCTTGCCAATATATTTATGACCCAGATCGAAACACAAGCCATACATTCTGCGCTTCATCCCCCACTATACTGGTATAGATATGTCGATGACACTTTTGCTGGCTTAATTCTACAGAACACACACCAACTTTCTTTGAACACATAAATTCTATTCATCCCAACATCAAATTTACCATAGAAAACGAAAACAATAAACTGTTATCTTTTCTTAATCTCAACATTATTAGATCGGACACCAGTTTAAAACCAAAATTCACCGTAAGAACACACATACAACCCCTGGAATTTCGCTCATGACACCACACAAAAAATCAATACACTGAAAACCTCATAAACACAGCCAGAAGACTCTGTTCAACGGACTACATAGATGAAGAAATCAACCACATAAAGCATTACTTTATTCACACCAACAAATTTCCTCCAGCTATTGTTGAAAAACATTCACCACAACAAAACTCAACTCTCGAACAAAATTGATATTATCAAACCCAACAACAGAGCTTTACATTGCAGTTTACCTTTTGTCTCTGAAACCAGCTCAAGAATAATCCACACTTGAAATACGTTTAAAAAAACATTCTTATGGGTGCGGGGGCCCGTAACATTTGTTACTTATGCTAATATACTAATCCTGCAGTGTCTACAAGCTATAAATACATTTTATACAAAACCTTTAGTATTTCGCTTTCAATAATGTCTGATTACGTCTTCATCAAAATTTGTGACACCTACATGTTTTCACGAACAAATAATTTTATCGCCTTTATGTACAGTGACATCGGATAGTCTACAACCTAAATACTTCTTTTTTTTTTATTTCAAGCAAACACGTGATCTGAGTGAAAGCAACGGTTTACTTATCCAAAACAACTGGAACAGCATCGCGAGAGTCACGATACATGTAAAAATGGGACACTAAAGTGTACTAAAAATTTGAGTTGTTACTATTATCAGCCTTTTAACCGACATCTTCAGCATAATTTCAAAAT